TGTGGTCCGCCATTCTCGACGCCGACGTCGTTCCCATTCCGCCGGACCATCCCCTCCCCCCTCCTCACGCTACTCATAATAATGAGCCATACATTTATAGTAACAATAATAATAGTAATAATTGGGCTTCCTGCCCCGCCGCCGCAGACCCAAATAATACTAATAATCAGAATAATAACAATCATAGTAACCAGGGATTTGTGGCTAGTCGGCTCAATGAATTGGCGTCTTGCCTAAAGTTCGATCCGTCGTCGTCGTGGGTCAATTCTTCTCAGCCGTCCGGTAGCAGAGATCAAACGCCCTTTTCGACCGGCGCAGCGGCAGAGGAAACCAGCTGCCGACTCATGAATAAGGTCAGCTTCTTCTTCATTGAAAGTGATTGGTTAAATTTTTACTACTCCATATTGATTAACCAATCATATATCATTTTATCTTTTACCGTAATATTTGAGACTCATGTCTCTAAGAAGTTAACATGTTTCATCTTACATGATAATTTTCAAATGATAGGACACATGATTAAATTACATGGCATGCTTTAAATGCTCATTCATCATTTATAGAAAATTATTTTTGATAAACTTTAAAATATTACTGTATGAGTTTAAAACAGCATATTTTATATTGAAAATTTAAGGACTTTTGAATTTATTGAAAGTTATGTAAATGAAATTAATGTTATAATTTTTCAACAAAAGTTAAATAAATTGTTCAAAAAACTGATTAGCTTGGGTCTTTTTTCATAAAACGACAATAATATTAAAAGTTTTTTTTTAGTAAAATATAGTATTTTTATAAATTATTAATTTATTATTTTGTATGAAAAATATTGAGCTAAAATATACTCTCGAGCAGCTCATCTTATACCACCTAATTAAAGATGAGAAATTTATCCTTTTACATTATTTATTTTATTACTACATATATTTTTCAACAAAGTAAATAGAATAAAATTTCTTTAATTGAAGGGTGACAAGTGACATTATGTCATATCTCTATTGATGTGTCATTATTTAATTAGTCTATTTCTGTATTATAATATTTTATTAATTAAACCATTTTCATTAGTACTTCATTCAATGACCATTGATTTTCTACAAAACAAATTGTTTTAAATTAACATACCAATATGTATTCCATCAGTTTAAAACATATTTTATCACTATCAGAAAATAAAATAAAAAACTTTAAAATTATAGATTGTCAAAATTTTAGAATGTATGCGAGCCCGTGCGAAGCATGAGGCTAACATTTGTTTATTCGTATATGTTGGTGGGTTTTAGGGTTGTGACAATGAAAACAAAATGTTAATCATAAATGAAAAATAGGTTTGATTACATTATGTGACATGTGTGATATTTAAAACAAAATCTTGTAATATCTAAAGTATAATTACAAATATATTATTCTATAATAAATACTGCATAAATAAATTAAGGTGCAAAGTCACCACAATAACTTTTAAAAGTTTATTATTTTGATATTTATGCTAACTTTGTATTCTAATTATTTTTTCCAAAAGTAATTTGTTTTGTATGAAAAATAACAATACTTTTTTTAATCTTAAATGCTTTCATTAAGATAAGGTGATAATAATAATCATGGTAATAATAATTTATAAATTTATACTACTCCGTATTGATTAAGGAATTTATTCGTATATGTTGGTGTGGTTTAGGGTTGTGACAATGATGTAGAGCTCTGTGAAGGAGCGGTGGACACTGCAGAAAAAGATGTGTCGTTGAGTTTCAGTGGGTACGACGAGATGTTTGCGGCTGCCGCCGGCCAATGTCATCGAGGATTTAACGGCGGCGATGAAGGCCTGGCCGCTTGTCTTCACACCGCCGCATCGAGGGACAATACCTTCTCCGGCACAGAGTCTAGCAGTCATCTCGTACGTATATATATATATATATATAGTACCTTTAGCTAGTTCTCTGATGATATATACTGATTATTACTGATCACTCTTTAATTAATAATTAATCACATTTAGTGTGGCTGGCGTGCTAGACTGGTTTATTTTGTTGCAGACCTCGTCATCGGGACAACAAGAGCGCATGGGGGGCTGTTTAGAGTCGATTAATAATAATAATAATAATAATATGTTACCCAACATGAATAGCTCTATGACGATGATGATGATGATGAGCCCTAAAATGGTGGGATTCCCATTAACGACGACGACAGCGACCCGACAAGTTGGTTCGCTCTCCAACATCACCGGAGACAGCGACATCGCGGAGCATCATCATCATCATCATCAAGACTGTGGCCTCTCGCCGGCTCTTCAGCTTGTGAATGGAGAAACAAGATGGGAGTCCGGTTTTGATGTCACCTGCTGCAGTCCACAGGCAAGAGACAAAGCCAAGATGAGATACAAGGAGAAAAAGAAAAGCAGAACGTTAGTACCTCCAAACTTTATCTTTTTTCTCTATGCTTTCTTCATGGTAGAATATTAAGGCATACAACCACAATAAGTTTGAGTTTTGGTTGACTAAAAAGTCATACGTTTAAATTTCACTGCCAACTCAAACTAAAACTAATCTAGCATGCACGTGAAGGAGCGTATTAGAGTATAAAATCTATCATGAGTCTATAACCACACGCTTAAGAATTTGGTTGAGTTATTTCACACTTTTCCATACACCTTTTTCCTAAATTCTTTTTTTTGGAATTATCTTATTAAAATGTATGAGTAGCACGTATATGACAATCTATGAAAATGTATGAGTAAAACTTATGTTTTCATGCACCCAACTTCAGTCTTCTAATAATGGGGTCATCATATCAGCTTTGAGAAGTTGGATCTTTAGTTGAGTTGGCATTGAAGCCTTGATAATTAAGAAGTCACGCGTTCAAATTTCACTGCCAGCCCAAACAAAAATCAATCTAACATGCACGTGAAGGAGCATGTTAGAGTATAAAATCTATTATCAGCTTAGAACCAGAAGCTTTAGCTGTTGGTTGAGTTGTTTCTTGATACTTCTTCATACACCTTTTTCTTAAATTCTTATTTTGTAAATTTCTTAAATTATTTCTCTCTCCTTTATCTTAAATAAAGGTGAAAATTTGACAATCAAATTTCTTCAAATTCACCATTAACTATTCACCGATATGATTCTTATAAAACATACTCCTTATATGACAATTTATGAAAATATAGGAGTAAAATTTTGGTATTCATGCACCGTCATCATATCAACTTTGAGAAGTTAACTTTCATCAACATATACTCCCTCTGTCCCAAAAAGAATGAGACGGTTTGACTTTTTGGAGAATTAAGAGAGAGATATTTTGGTATTGACTTTCCAAAAATACCCTTGATGTGATGGGTAGATTATTGGAAAAAAGGTATGATGTAATTGGTAGGGTATCAAAAAGTAAGAGGTAAAAGTGATTTTTTAATAGAAATGTAACGGACTTTATAGGACGCAGTTTTTTTTAAACGTAATAAATTTTTTGGGAGGGAGGGAGTATATAATTACCAATAATTATTTGCATTGCCACATTGAGTAGGTTCGAGAAGCAAATACGATATGTGTCACGGAAAGCAAGAGCTGATACTAGAAAGCGTGTGAAAGGAAGATTTGTTAAAGCCGGGGAAGAGTATGATTACGACCCGCTCAAAACTAAGGATATAGATATGGTGCCTGATTGACATACATATATAAGGTACATGTCATATGTTCTACTTACAATTATCTTTTTTCTTTCATACTACTTCGTATTTATTACTTCCTCCGTCTCCCATATATCTTCCCATTAGTCTTTTTTATTTGTCACACATAGATTTTCTCATTAAATTTTTTAAATATTTTAAATACCACAACTACCCCCACTTACTTTATTTATTACACCTTTTCCACCTTATTTAATACACCCCATCCATTTTCATTAAGGGTATTTTGGTAAACTTTCACCTTTTTTCAACTCTCTTTAAAAACAAAAAAAAGTCAAAACGAAAAGATCTTAGGGGGACGGAGGGAATAGATTGTTTCTAAATTTTCTTCCTTTTTTCTTTTTTTAGAAAACAAATATGTGGTCTTTATTAATTCTCTTTTTTTTACACAAACTACAACTATCCATATTCCACTTTATTAAAAATCATATCGAGTCAAATGCAGAAGATAATTCAGGAACCGAGTGAACACTAAATAAGGCACTACAAAAAGAATCATTTTGCTAGCTAGTAATTAATGTGGATTGAACTTGATCAACTCGAAGTGTATACGACCTAACCTGTCTCACGAACTATGTAACCTACAAAATCTTAGTGGCATATTAGTACATATGTTAGACAATACTCTTAGGATTTGTATTTATAGCAGTATTAATATTTTAGTCAGGTTCTATAATAGGTAGAATCCTAATTATGTTAGAATCTTTTTCTATATATACACTCTTGTACACATTATTATTCTTTGATTAAATCATTATTCCATTATTCTAACATGGTATCAAAGCCTAATCTTTCCCCTTCAACTCCTCGTTAATATCGATCAGAAAGGGAAAAATCGACTAGGGTTAGTTCTTGATCCCGCCAATTGCCGCACCTACCTACACCGATCACGGACTCTCTCTCGTTGATCGCAGCTATCTATGGCACCTTCTTCAACTAATCCTATGAATCGTCTTCCTACAGGTCTCGATTTGTTTGTCTAGAACCTTCAATCTCTTACACTGGTCAACGTTGATGGCACAAACTATCCCTCATGGCCAGCAACACTACAGGCCAATCTCATGGCTCATCGTATCTTAGGTTTTGTTGATGGCACAAAACTAGCCCCTCCACCCTTGTTTCTCAATGAAAAAGTTGCAGCACCAGCCAAAGATGGCCCTTCAGGTCATGAAGGCCAATCCAGCACGTGAGATCTAGATGATTGTTGATGCTCAAATTTGGGCATGTCTCTTGGCTATAGTTTTTCCTACAATTCAGACCCATATTCATACTCTTTCATTAGCTACCGCGATCTAGAGTCACCTTGAATAGAGGTATAAATCATTGTCTCACACACATATTTTTTAGTTGAAAGAACTGCTCCATAACCTTCAAAAGTCTATGCAAACATATCTTGATGGAGTCCTTGCTTGCTTTGCAGGTTCAGAGAAAAAAAAAGGTTGGGCCGTGTGAGTTTTTTTTGTTTTGGGCTGGCTATTTGTTTTGGACTGGTCTTAGTGGTGGACTTGACTTTCTGACGGAAAAAAATACCAAGATCTGAAATATTTGTACCGGGTATCTCGTCTAGTCGTTTGATATGGCAGAAGATGGGAAGTTCCAAATTGAGAAGTTCGATGGTACAGATTTCAGTTGGTGGAAGATGCAAATTGAAGATTTGCTGGTTCAGAAAGATTTGGACGTGGTTTTGGGTGACAAGCCAGAAAAGATGTCGGATGCAGATTGGGCAGGTTTGGATCGGAAAGCTATGTCCGTGATCCGTCTCTCGTTGACCAAGAATGTTGCGTTCAACATTCTGAAGGAGAAGACAACGAAGGGAATAATGGAAGCGCTGTCTAATATGTACGAGAAGCCATCTGCAGCGAATAAAGTTTTTCTGATTAGAGAGCTGGTGAACACAAGGATGAAAAATGGCACTTCAGTTACCGAGCATATCAACAAGTTGAATTCGATCTTAGCCAGACTTTTGTCAGTTGGCATTAAGTTCGATGATAAAGTTCAAGCTTTACTACTGTTATCGTCATTGCCTGACACTTGGTCCGTAACTGTTACAGCAGTTACCAGTTCAGCGGGACCTGACGGATTCACTTTTGAGAAGATTCGTGACCTTGTTCTTGGCGAAGATGTCAGAAGAAGGAGTTCTGGTGAGTCTTTGGAAGAATCACTAAATATCGTCAGAGGTAGAGGAAATAACAG